TTAGAGGAGGTTTTAGTATAGAGGCCATGGAATGTGGTGGGCTGAATGGTTTTATCCTGGCCTTAATTTCCTATTTTCTAATATAAGGTGACCCTATTATAATTTGTCGGGTTTCGTGGGATCTTCTTAGAATATCCTTGGACTCGCGCTACACTGGAAATGGGTGTGTACCATATACCCGTCCTCCAGCGCTGATTTGTCAGCAAACCATGCCAAAATATAACCAGGTCATCCTGACGTCACTTCCTGTGCACGCGTGCAACGTTCAGGAAGTGACGTCGGCAATGCCCTGACGATTTGCAAAGTGGCCGTTTTTGGACTGAGCTTTGTTATAGCCTTATAGCGTTATACCAAACCACCACGGCGTTGCCCTGTCCTATTTCCCAATTTTTTTCTCCCCACTTCAGGTTCTTCCCTCCTTTTGTGGAAGGCACTGGCAAATGCAGGAGGTAAACTTCCAAGAATGTAGCCATTTTCATGTGTGAATCTAGACTGTGCTTGTTAGCAAGTGATTTGAACTTGCTTAGAAGGAAGAATGACGAAAAAGGGGCTGGTGGAACACAGCTGAGGCAAATTCTGCCTTAGCCATATCCACATACTAACATTTTCCAGCATCACTGAATAATAATAATAATAATAATAATAATCCCGGCATTTAATATAGCGTCTTATGTCGTCGAGAAATCTCAAAGGACTTCGCAAGATATACTGTAAAGTGGTTTGACTTGTGTATTTTGTGGGTTTGAGTGAATAACCAATTTTATTAGGGGTGTTATTGGCCAAGATATCGAGAGAAACTCCCTTCTCTTTTCAGATAGAGCCACTTTAACTTTAACTTCCACCTGAACAAGCAGACAGGACCTCAGTTTAACTTCTCATCCGAGGAATGACATCTCTGACAATGCAATACCGCCCCCACCAGAAGTGGCAGCTTAGACTAGCGATTCCAAGTCCCGACTTGAACCCACAACCTTCTAACTCAGAGGCGAGTGCACTACCACTGTGCCAGGCTGACACAAATAGCCATTATTAGCAGTAACCGTGGCTGATTTGTTACCTCTCAAATTCAGTAGTATTGACGCCAATTGTGTTTCTACCGCTGCTTCCATGACTGGGATCACTGAACGCACACCCAGACCAGAGATCAAACCTAGGACCTACCAGGTCTCTACAAATCAATTAAAATGACCAGTTACGCAATTGGGGAGCCAGTTTTCTGTGGCAGAACTTCATTATTATCATCTGAGATCGTAGTCTGGCTGACACCTTGGAGTACTGGAGCAGTGGTGTACGCTTGGAGGTGCTCCCCTTCTAATCAGACTTTAAACTGAGGTCCAGAATGCCTGTACTTATTCCAAAAGAAAAGAGAGTTTCTCCTGCTGGGCTGACCAACTATTGTCCACCTAAAATTAGCCGTTCACCTCATGGCTTCTTGTGGGATCTTGCTGTCCACAGCACAGCTACCTATGAAACACAATTGATATATTTAACGGAAATGACGGTGACGTCCTTTGAGACGTTTCAACGTGATAATACATTACAAAAATCCAAGTCCTTCCTTCATTGTAATACTCACCTGTGTGAATGATTTGGAGTGAATAATCAAGATAGTTTCCTACAGAGGTTAATAATAATAATAATAATAATCCTTGCATTTGATATAGCGCTTTTCACGTCGGGAGGACGTCCCAAAGCGCTTCACAGATCACACTGTAAAGTGAATTGACTGTATATTTGTTAACAGTAAAGCGCAAATGGTTTATGGATACCATTTGAATTTCAGGATTAAGGTTGTTAGTCGATTGGTGGATCGCTTTTCCGGGGGTAATAATCCCTTCAAACATATATTTGTTCACTTAGTCCCCGACTGTTTGTGGGACACTACTGTGCGCAATTGGTTGCTGCATTTCGCCAAGAAAATATACTGTCAATTCACTTTACAGTATATTCTGTGAAGCGTGTTGAGACGTCTTGAAGACGTGATAAGTCGCTATATCACATTCATGGATTGTTATTATTATTAAATTGCAGCCTTTCCTTCACTCTCTGCCATCCCTGGTTTTACTCAGTTTTGGTGCTGAGGTCTCAACAGACATTGAAGCCATTCAGAGGAGAGTGGGCTCAGATGACATTGAATGTGAGAGGCTTCTGTGAAGTGGTGACTGGGGAGCAGCAATTTGCAAGTGAATCACAGTGGGCATAACAATGGATTTATTCTGCCTTTCTATAGCAGAAGGAATTCATGTCTACACAGCAATTGGGTTTACAGTATAGCACTAGAGGTTGCCTCGTTGTAAACGGCAGTAAAAAAATAATAATATTCCTCGCATGTGATACAGCGCCTTTTCACGTCTTCAAGACGTCTCAAAGCGCTTCACAGAACATATTATAAAGTGAATTAACTATATTTTGTTGGCAAAAACGCAGCAGCCAATTGAACGATTTTGCTTCTAAAGCAAAATCAGTGTAGTATACGGCAACCCACAAGGTGCAGATGTTGTCAGGTTAAACATTAGTGTAACAGAACCCTACATCTATAGAACGTACCATGTTCTTGAACCACCCTCCGCCCCCCCACCCCCACCCCAATTGGGTAGGATAAGAGGTACAGCAAAAGGGAAGGAGTGAATAGTTTTCAATAATAAAAACGGAATTCGCTGGGATCACACGGCGGGTCAGGCAGCATTTCTGGAGAGAGGAAAAATAGTTAACGATAGAGGTCAATGTCGGAAGATCATTGGGAATTTCAGCTCTCCGATTCAGGACTCTTAGATGGCTTGGGAACTGACTTGCCAAACATTCTTGCAGATCGCCCAAGGTTGTCAACGTCAAAGAATTACAAAAGCATGAGAAAGCTGACTTTCCAGCCCTTACCTTTCCTGCCCCCTCTGTTTCCTCCTTGTCGCCTCCCTGCTCTCTTCCCTTGCGTCATTCACACTTCAAAACAAAATAACAGTAAACTGGTCACTTCATTCCACGACCGTTTGTGGGACACTGCTGTGTGAAATTGGCTGCCGCGTTTCACCCACAAAATATTCAGTCACATTACAGTGTATTCTGTGAAACACTTTGAGCCGTCTTGAGACGTGATAAGGCACTATATCAAATGCAAGGATTATTATTATTATTATTATCTCTCCCTCACGTCGGTAGTCATTGGACCAGCCTTCTGATACCATCGGGTCTCTAATCTTTCAGGCCATGCTACATTGAGACCTGAAAATCGTTCAAACTTTTTCTTTTTACTGTTTGTGCCACATGCAATGAATGTGGTGGAGGGGGGAGGTTGGAGGAAGAGAAAATCAACAGTTTTATTAACCATCCCATTGTCTTTCATGATGTTGTGCAGAGATATTAAACGACAGTGCTTGTTATTTATTTCATTAGTTATGCAGGATTTTTTTTTGGTGCCGCTTTACACAAACCGACAACAAATAACTGTTTTCCACATCAAAGCTTCAAAATTATTTATTTGTTCTGAAGCCGAAATTGAAAGGCAAAGCAAAGAAAGCGCGACTGCAAACGTCCTGTGATTTCGCTGACAATGGACAACTGACAGCAGCTGATAAGACAGCTTATTTCTGATTATTTATTTCTTTCCTTTTCGGCGCTCATTATTGCATTTTTTTTTGGCAAGCAATGTGGTTGCTAACGATCCCATGACGCACTTCAGAAAAAAAAGGGGAATTTCTCCTAGCAGCCTGGGCACCGACAGTCCTTCACAATAAATTGTTCCCTCGCTTCGCCAGCTGTTTCTCGGACTTTGCTGGCGCATACTGTCCGTCGTGTTAGCCTAAAAGACAAACCAGTCACTGAACTTGACCCGCATTTACTCGTGAAGTGCTCTTAGATGTTCCGACGTAATATTGCGCGAAGTAAAAACGCAACTTCTTTTAATTTGTCTTTTTAATCAAGTACCAAATTTGCCCTGTTCTGTCTCTGATTCTGACTGGCTACCTGAACCATGGTGGTGTATTTTTATACTACACCCCTGTGCTGAAATTAGAGGGGTCAATTTTGCATGATTTCTTAACAGATTTCTCAGTTAGGAAATGGGATCAATTAAGAAAGCCAAGGTTTTATTAACTGGAAGTACATCACGCACGTCGTTCTGACTGACTCGCAGAAACCCCGCTTCGAAAGTAATAATAATAATAATCCTCCCACAAAGACAGAAGTCGCTGGGAACACTCAGCGACTTCCCAGCGACTTCTGTTTTTGTTTCAGATTTCCAGCATCTGCAGTAGTTTGCGTTTTGTTAATAATAATCCTCGCTTTTGATATAGTGCCTTTCATATCGGGGAGGACTTCTCAAAGCACTTCACAGGATAGCAGCAATGTATTTTGAACATGGCAGTCAATTTGCACAATTTGCAGCAATTTTCCACAAACTGCCATGAAGTGGATGACCAATTTTATCAGGGGGATTGCTGGCCTTTATTGGAGTAACAGCCAAGACTAAATTAGTTTAAAATCTTGACATGGGCCTTAACTAAATAAAAAATAATAATTTGGTCAATCCAACAACGACTTCTTGCGCAATTAGCTGCCGCGATACACTGCTGTGCGCAATTAGCCCACAAATATAGTCACTACACTGCACAGTATATCCTGTGAAGCGCTTTGAGACGTCTCGAAGACGTGATAAGGCGTTATATCAAGCGCAAGGATTATTATTATTAAATCCAGAATCTTTTGAGTCAGCGACGAGAATTGGATCAAGCAGATGAAATTTGAGTGGTGTTCTTTATTTACTTAAAATCTTCGTGGCAACAACCCTTGCAGTTAACCCTTGCAGGTTCTTTTCTGTCCCGTCACGTGAATCCAAAAAGTGGAAAATAATTGGGCACGATGCACCAAGTTCTCACCAAAGTGGAGAGAGTTGTGGGTTATTACTGTGAGATAATGTACACTATAAAATGCGTTGATTTTAAAATTAAACTGATCACTGATATTCTAACTGCCGCAAGCTAACAAGACTTGTGTTTGTTTTGTTCCAGGTGTCTGGCCTTCAGAAGAGGTTTTAGCTTATTACTGCGTAAAACACAATGATACATTTAGGTATGTTGACTAATCTTTTCATTGACCTGGTGGTTCACTCTGCGCTCGTCTGATTTGACTCGTTCCATCACGATAATTTGTCTCAATTGTGAAAGGAGCAAAACTCCAGCATAGAACTCCCCCACGTCTGCGGGCGAGATACTGCTGCATACTCACATACAGGAAAGCCACTCCATACTGTGTTGGATAGAGTACAACTACCCCACTACCTCACATCGGTACACTGTAAAAACTTCCCAATATCTACACACACTGGATAACCGCCCATAACTGCACAACAACAACAGCATAACTATTCCATATCTGCACTTTCCTCATGTCCACGTACCCTGGATGACCGTGCGCTCGCTCAAAGCTCAAGATCCCCAAAGTATTGTTGGGAAAATCCTAATCCACGCACCAAATAAAGTGAAGTCACCGACTTAATAAGCGCAGCCATGCAAAACAATCCATTGCATTTTGAGTGATGACCTGATGTCTACACTGTTTTCATATCCACAATGAGACCAGTCCCAATTAGTGTAGATGTCAGACTCCCTACTGTAGTTCAATAGCGAAAGATATCTTTTGTACTATGACTTTTCTGGCAATGCCTTCAGGTGTTTCCTACCCACTGTATATGACTCTTGTTCGGGTGAAAGGTTTTTGATTTCCACTTAAGGCATTTTGTTTTGCTTTGATTTTTTGTGTGGGGTGGAGTGTGTGTGTGTGTGTGTGTGTGTTTGTGTGTGTGGAGAGAAAGTGGAAGCGTTAATCGCTGAACCTTCATTGTGAAGGTCAGGCAGGAGAAAGACACTGCTTGGAGTGATTCACCCACACACTCTTGGTACGCGAGGAGAGAAAATTCACTCGCACTGTGCAGTAGATTCTTCTTAAAACAAAATGCTCAGTGCTCCTTCTATCCTCTTCCCGTATTTTTACGCAAGCTTAATATTTCAATCAACATGTACGCGTATCTCTTCTGACTTGCTTATTGGTATTGGAAAAGTGAGTGGTATCCAGTGACTGTCTCTGACTTTGCTGATCTCCGATTTCAAATCAACGTGAAATGCCTTTTGTTTTTGTCTCAGGTCCTTCTCATGGTTAAATGCAGCGGAATTCACCGTCTTCACTCGGCCCTGTGTTATTGTCCCATAAGGGGTTTGGTCTTAAAGAGGGAATCTCATCACCGCAAACCCCATAGAGTTTCAAAAACGAGTTAGGTTTACCCCCCCGCCCTCCCTTCCCGATGGCTTAGCCAGTTTATTGAGTGAGTAATCAGCCACGTGGGTGTTCCCGGTTCCAATCCCAGACCTTTGCTGCATTAGTTGGAACGCTGAAATTGTTCTCCGCGTTTCAGGTTAAGAAAGGAAAATCATCCAGGAAGCCCCGATAATAGAAAACCTCTTGGAGTCCTGTAGCTTAGTGGTTAGAGCACTCGCCTCGCAAGTGAGAGAACCTGGATTCGCAGGGCAACACGTTGGGCAGGTTTGGTTAATAATTTGGTCACTAAATCCATGACTGTTTGTGGGACATTGCTATGCGCAATTGGACTGGTTCCTTTGTGGATATGAAAACAGTATGGACATCAGGTCATCACCCAAAATGCAATGCATTGCTTCGCCCACAAAATATACAGTCAATTCACTTTACAGTATATTCTGTGAGATGTCTCGAAGACATGATAAGGCGCTATATCAAATGCAAGGTTTATTATATAAATACTAGCCACTTAGATAAGATGCAGAAGGCGGCAACCTGGGGGAGGAGGGCATCGCAGCTGAGCCCAATCTATTCTGACTTGATGTTCACAGCAGAGCTTTTTGAATAGCAATCAGGAGTGGGGAATTCTGACTGTTTTTCTTCTCCCTAACTCATGCCCAAATCTACTTTGAGATAAGCCAAGGCAGCAGGACACGAGGGCACAATTTGGCGATTGTGAAGGGCAATTTCAGGACAGACACCAGGACGTATTTCTTTACACAGAGGGTAATTGACATCTGGAACAGGCTACCAGGAAGAAGAGTTAAGGCCAGGATCCTGGTCACATTTAAGATATGGCCTGATTCTGTAATATGGTTACATTTGTGAAGCACCTTTTACGTCAGAAGGACATCTCAAAGCACTTCAATGACTGGGGTGGGTAACCTGGAAAGTTGAGATGAAATGGTGGAAATATCCTCTTTACCCCCATCTCTCGTATAGCTCAGCACAGGCTGTGCCTTTACCCATTCAGCTACCAAGAGACCAATATAACTTCTATTTTGGAAGAAGGGGTGCTATTCAAGGTGTTGATGATGAGATACTCTCTTTAAACGGACTGAATGGTTGGGGTTTTTTTTTACCCCCTCACTTCTTTTATTACAGGAGTTAGTGAAGCTGAACAAACATTTCAGCTGAAGGGAACATTCGAATGAACTCTCTACATTTCTTTTTCATTTGCCTTTACTCGCTGGTTCACTCTGTAACACATCAGTAGGAACTTCTTCTCCCGGAGGCTGGGAGGGGCAGGGGAAGAGAGATAGAAAGGAAAGGAACTTCTACAGAGTTTTCATATTTGCATCGAGCAAAGCCGTTGCTTTTCTGTTTGCTTTCCCTCTGTGAATCGCTCCGAGAACCCTGTGTGAAGGGCGCATAAAAGTGCAATACACTGTATTAAGTGGAAGTTTTTTTTTAACCCAAGTAAAACATTCTCGGTGAAACAGCGAGCCTCTTCCTCCCTTCCTATCTTACTCCTTTAACACATGGACGTTGATGAATTGCGACGAAGGGTCTATTAGCTCTGATGCCGCTTAAGCCTATATTTGTGTGTGCGTTCTCTGCAGCTTCCATTTCTCGCCCCTTCCTTTTTTTTTCTTTCCCTCCAGGGGCCTAGCGGTGTGCGAGCTGGGGGGTGGCATGACTTGCTTGGCGGGTCTCATGGTAGGTCTCAATTCCTTTTTTGCTTCTATCGTTTTCTCTCTCTCTCTCTCTCTCTCTCTCTCTTTCTCTCCCATTCAGGAGAGAATAAAGAAAGGAGAGCTAAGGTCTTTTTTTTTAAAAAAAAAGATTCTGCTGGTCCCAGCTGCTGTGACAGGGAGGTCTTGTGTCCGCGCCAGTTTCAGACCAGCTGCAGAAAGAGAGAGCCTCTGGATTGACTTGCTTTTGCATCTTATTGATTTTATGCTCACTGCAGCAAATGAGCAGAAGCATTTCATCCGAGTGGACTCGATATCCCTTGTTATGACATTGTGGGGGGCGCCTAGGAATGGTCACAGTTAAATCATTTTACGTGGAATCAGCCCTAGAGAGGGCCATTCTGCCCATCGTGCATGTGCCGGTTTGTTGTTTATGTTTATTGGAAGCCCCCCTTTCTTTCCCCCCCCACTCCACTGTCTCCCCCGCCCCGCCCCCCCCCCTCCCCGCACCATCACCACCACCCCATCCCCCATCCATACCTTTTTTGTATTTTTCTTTTTCAAACATTTCTCCTTTCGAAAGCTATCATGGATTCTGCTTGAACCGTAGGTTTTGGAAGTGCTTTTTGTGCTGGTAAAAAAAAACTTGAAACCCACTCCTCTCTTTGTTTTTTTGGGGGGGATAATAATCTTAAATTTATGTCCTCTCGTTACCTACTCGGCAACCACTGGGAACAACTTCTCCCTATTTACGTTATCAAAACACTTTGTCCTTTTTGGAACACCTGACGACTTGGCAGGACATTTTCCCAAAGTACACGAAAAGCTACAGCAAAAAAATAGGCACAAATCACTGTTGGAGCTCTATGGTATGGCTGCTAATGTTTTGCCAGAACATCACGTGGACAGGCAGTAATTGTATCCTTTTAACTCAGACTGGGGCCATTCAGGAACCGTCGCCCCACATTCTTTCAAGCTCCGAGTCGTGTGTTCACGAGAGGCCCCAAATTCTACCGAAGTCCCAGCCAGCGAGACCATTTTGCCTCAAAACAATTTTTTTGCTCCCAAATTGAATATTTTCCCACAATTCTGCACCATCACACATTTTAGGGCCGGAGCGATCCCACGGGCAAAAACGGTGTGGAACTTCGAGCCTCGGTGGTATTATGCGGCAGTGTAATGTCAAGACAAGTTTTTATTTCTCTCTCTCTCTCTCTCTCTCTCTCCCAAGTAAAAAGCATATTGTTGCGTTGATTGACACTTGACAAACCTGTCCCACTCTTATATAATGTGTCTAGGTTACTCACAAATGTGCGAGCATGTCAGCTGCGCACAAAAAAAAAAAATTACCCTTACAAAGCCATCTGCCTCCCATGCAAAGTTATGTGAAGGGCATCAGGCGGGCAGACAGAGGAAGGCTGAAAGGCAGAGTGACAGCCTAGTATGATGGCTGTACCAGATAAACAGAAGGCTGCAAATGAAAGCCTCTCAGAATACCATCATCCACTGTCACAATCCAATTACTGAACAGAATGATAGCAAGATAGAGGCTCCCGCAAATGGAATGATAAAAGTATTGACTGATTTGATTGAATGATTAAAATAATGCAGACATAAAATGAAAAAAGATTGAAGATTGTTACTAAGAAATAGGTGAAGAAGCATGATACTGAAGGCTTGTCACTTCTGTCTTTCACTTCCACGCAGACAAGCATATTTGCTCACTGTTCGATGCTATTTTTTTCTCTCCAGGTTGCTATTTCTGCAGATGTCAAAGAAGTTCTATTAACTGATGGGAATGAAAAAGCCATCAAAAGTATCCTTACTCATGCAACCTCAATTTAAATCTCAAGTTTTTTTTTGTTTAAAAAAAAAAGGAGGGCAATTTTACATTTGCTGGGAAACCGACCGCATTGCCTGCCTCTGAATACGGAACAACATAAAATGAGTGTTAGCGTGGTGAGTTTCACAGCGCACGAGGATGCAGGTTATTCAGCCCTTATTGAGCCTATCGCTGGTGATGCATCAATTCCATATGTGCCCAGATGTATCTGCTGCGCTACTGTAATATCCTCCGCCCTGATCCCCTTCTCAATGCCTTAGCTTTGACTTTCTGATCGCACCATTTGACTGCATCACTTTACAAAGCACGGGCCACAAAATACACAGTCAATTCACTTCACAGTGTATTTGAGACGTCTGGAAGACGTGATGAGGTGCCTACGTCAAATGCGGGGATTATTATTTATTTATTTAGTTACAAAGCTATCAATTCCCCACCTCAGAGACCATTTTCAACCGTATTCAATGAATTGGCCTTGGTTAAGGGGCAAAAAAGAGGAACAAAATTAGACAGTTCCTGAATTGTCCTTTCTCAGTTGTAGCTCTTTCTGGATGGTGGTCCAGTTGTGTTTATTGCTGTCGTATTTAGGCCTTTACAAGATCCAGATCGTTTATTCTGAAACATAGGTCCTGGCACCAGACTTGGATGTCACCTCTTTTTGTATTTAAGAGAAGGACTCAGATGGCTTTGTTTCCTCAGTGCAGTTGTCAACGCGAGTGGCATTCACTTAAGCCTTTTAGCTCCTGTCTGGATTTTGTAACCCCGAACTCATGAACAAGTAAATTGGAAGAACTTTGTTTGAAATTGCCACATAAACAGAGCATTATGAGTGGCACCAATGAGGCAGAAAAGAGCTCTCTTTAGTGAAATTTGTGGCGGTTGAATGGAGAGAAATAGTCAGATAAGAAACGTTTCTATGCTCTGCACCATCCCTACCTATGGAATCCTCTCCAATCCTCTTTTCCCGCCCATGCCTTCTGGTACCGAATCTGGTTCTACTCCTCTTTCCTGAAATCTTCTATCCCACCATCAGTGGCCGAGCCTCTAGCCATTACACTTCCGCTCTCAGGAACTTTCTCCTAGAGTTCCTTCACTTTGCTGCCTTCTCTCCCTGCCATCAAAACCCTTTCAAAAATCTCTTTGGCTGTGATTTTGTCAATACCGTTAAATTTTCCTTCCTCTCCTCCCTCCTCTGTGATCACCATCTTCTTTGTGAAGCGCTTCAAGACTATCCTACATGAAAGGCTCTATATAAATCAAGCAGTTGTTGTATTATCCGAATACAACTGAAGTGAGTTAGAGATCTAAGACAGAATTCCATCTCCCTCTTCTAAATCGGAGAGGGGAGGAGAATATTTGGGGACATTTCTTTATAATTAATAATAATACAATAATAATCCTCACATTTGCTATTGCGTGTTTTACACTGGTGGGACCTCTCAAAGTGCTTCACGGGTTCAATGAAGTGGAGTGACTGTTTTGGGAGGAAAAAGAACGAATGGACGAATTAATGTGTATTTGTATAATATGTTGTCAGATCAGTGTCTCAAAGGACTTTATAATTTAATTATAGTGACTTTTTTTGTAATCACAGTAAGTTTTACACACAGTAAGATCCCGTAAAAAATTAGGAGAACAAAAGTTATTGATTTAAGTTCATCTTTGAGCCTTGAGTTCAATGCCTTTGCTGATGCTCAATAATGTAGCACCTATAATGTCAAGCTGTCTCAAAGTACTAGATGGACCTTGGTCTTCTTTTGCCTAGCAAATACTTATGTTCTTATGCTAGAAAATAATATCTAGGGATACAGTATACTGTATATAGTTTACGACACGACATGTCAAGCGACTGCCAGGATGGTGAAGGGGAATTACATAGACCTTGGTCTTCTATCGCCTAGCAAACTCTTATGTTCATAAGCGCTTCACAAGTAATTACTGTCAAGTGTAGCAGGCGTGAATTTTGTAGGCATTGTCTTTGTGCACTACTGTACACAAGGATCAGGTTACCCACCTGCACTCACTCATTAAATCAGAGTCAGAGAGGAGAGATAAGAAGTAGCTGAAGAAAGATTTCACACTTGCATTGATTTTATTCCGAGTTTGTTGTCGAAGGACCCCAACCACAAAACTGCCCCTAACTGGTTTTCCCAACCCGGAAATGTTATTGTGGTGCTTTTTTTTCCCTGAAGTTGGGTATAAGGCATATTGTTAGAGAAAACTTTACTCTGCAGGTGATTGTGCTTTACCTGACCTGGAAGTGCTTGGTTATGAGACTGGTGGGCCAGACATGGTTAATCTCTTCAATGTACAAGGCTGTTGGTTTTAATTTTTAACACCCTCCGACTTTCTTCCCCTTGGTCTGATCTTGCTTCGCCTTCTCTTACCTTATCAAGAGGCTTCTTCCTTCCTCTTCCTCTCCCAACCTCCATGAAGGTTCCAGTTCTAATGAGGAGTCCCTCAAGATACCTTAACCTCTCTTTATCTTTCAGGTGCTGATTGACTTGCTCTGGTTTCCATCCATATTTTTATAGCAAAATCCAATAGGTCATGCTCATCAAATGCCTCCTCAAAAGTACGACCCTTCTGGTGTGAAATATCGTACCCGTTGTCCTACTCGCCTACTTCCTTGTAATGCACGTAAAGATTCTCTAGTCAGAGAAAAAGGGATACAGTTTTGCTGCAACACACTCAAATCTAGGGCTTCAAAACTCTCATGGTCTTATCATTAAGACCCTTGTCTTGTAATTTAAAAGTATGTGGAGCTTTGGAAAATTTGAAAACTGATTGATTGCAGAACGAAGAAAGTAGAACAGCAGAAAATTATTTTCGAAACAGCCTGAAATTGTAATAAATTTTCAAAACTCTTAATCACATTATATTTTGGGCAGGATTAAAGCTTTTCTCTCTGGAGATGAGATGATTAAGAAGCAACCAGATTGAGTCGCTTATAGCGATGAAAGGATTCAATAAGGTGAACGTTAATAGGTTGTTTCCACTTGTCGGTGAGTCCAAAACGAGAGGGAATAAATGTAAGATAATTAGCAGCAGATATAATAAAGAGCTTAGGAGAAACTTCTTTACACAGAGGGTGGTAAAAATGTGGAACTCACTGCCTGAAGCTGCAGTTCAAGGAAAACGCATTCACGTATGTAAGAGCATATTTGATACATATGTGAGGGAGAAGGGAATAGAGAGGTGTAATAGGGTACATTAGGAGAGGTGGAGACTTGTGTGGAGTATAATCACTGGCACAGACTACTTAGGCCAAATTGCTAGTTTCCATGCTGTAACGTTCTATATCATTTTAAAACCAGGGACTTAAAGCTGAGACCATGCGAAATTTTGAATCTTCCATCTTCACCCTGACTGGGAAAGATGGATTATCAGTAATCTTCCTTTTCTCTTTAGACTTTGACCCTATTGAAAAAAAATAGGGTCAATGTGATTCCCCCCTCCCCTTACATATTCACATATGAAGGAAGGACTGTCACCTCTGATCAAAGCCGTAGTGTTAGCTCAGCATCACCCTGCGCTTTGAATGCTACACGGGATGAAATAAGTGGTGGTTTACACGCCTGTGCTATAGCCTGATTCACTGGCTGCTCGCTCCAAAATTCTAAAGGTAGATCGCAGGTTTCCCACAAGTCCGTTGTGACTTACTGCCAGTAAGGATTTCCCTGTTAGCGATTCTATGACTCCCATTGTAAAACCATCGCCCGTCTCCTCCATACGCACACACACACACACATACACACCCACTCGCACTTTTACAGCAGTGATGTTCTCAAAAGAGTTTTAAAACTGATTTTCCCCAGCGTAAGGATCCTCTACCTTGACTTTGAAATTCTCTTCCTCGCCTGATCAAACCCCAGCATTATTATAAAGATCACATCAAACCCACTTCCAGATTGCTTTACAGGCTTGAAATAATTTGCAAATCCCAAACCTCTGATAATTTGCAAATCCCAAACCTCTGATAGCCTTCCTTTGCTTTCGCCACCTCCCACCTCCCCCCCCCCACCTCAACCTCACACCGTCATCACCGCCTTTGAAGACTCCTGGTGGAATCTGCTCTCTCACGCCCAAGGGAAACGGAAGCTGTTGAGTTTTCGCAGTGCACTGCGAGTGGTGACACATTCTACCCATAAAGAACAGTGAGCTTCTGTAGGTAACTTTCATACTCACACCGCTTGCCATTGATGTTTACACTGACGCATACGGCAACGACATCCGAAGCGTTCCTTCAGCAAACTAGAAACAAATCTGAAACAGATTGGAAATCAAATTTGGGCTGCAAACCTGCTTTGAAGTCACTGACTTATTAATATTTGACTCTTGTGCTGTGGAAAACACCGTTTTAATTTTCACTCGCTTTCCCCCATCCCCATCCACCCCATATCATTAGGGAAAGGGGCAGGGGACCCAAAATTGAAAATACTACTTATCGGAAACAGGAGGGTTAATCCATCTGCGGTACGGAATACTAGATAATAACTGTATCAGTGTTTCTATTTATGTTATGCAAAATTATTGTTGATCTCTGGCCCATTGATTTTATATCCTGACCAATTCAGCACTAAAAAGCCTGAGGGGTCTCTAAAAAATCAAAAACCTTGGCTGCTGCTGCAGAATCTCTGTCCATTATAATTTCCTCATCCCTTTCCACCTTGTTAATGCACTGTAGGGCTAATCGTTGTGCATTTTGTCAGTTTAAGCAATGAAACGGATTAAACATGTAATGTACAAATGGTCAAAAAAAAGCAGTGGCTTGCACACAAGTTGCCTCTTTTTTTCCACAAGTTCCAACTCCTTAAAGATTTTGGATTTGATTCTGTTTTATAAAACAAACGTTTCTCCCCAGCGTTTGATCCAAAGTTACTTTCCCTTTGTAATGTTTTGTTTCAGTCTTTAACCACTAGTATTGCACCCCCACCCCCCAACCCCAATCCCCTCCTCCCGCCCTCCTCTTCATATAAACCACTGTTTGATTCATTATAACATCTCTGGGGAAATAATGGCAACTGCCTGAGATTGTTTATCAGGAAATGATGAAAAGATATTTGGTTATCCTCAGAGGAAATACTCCTCAATTTATAGCACCATCCACACGAGCTGAAGAGGTGGATTGATGCAACAAACTGAGCAGAAGATGTCATGCTTCAAATCTGATACTGGGTTAAATAAGATTTTTCCTATTTTAATATATAAAAGCTCAAACCATTGAATCCGTGTCTCGTATCTAACATTCAAAAAGATGAATCGGTTGTATTATAATTGCTATACAATCAGACAGACAGAATCATTCACGTTCCGAGACTAAACCCATTGTCTAAACATGTACGTCTAAAGATTATGCAGGATATTGTGGACAATGTGTCATTTGGAAACCGCCTACCAGTATTCAAATTGGATTGAGGATCTGCTGGGAGCTGTGGTCTGTACCTCTCCACACCTGCAGTGTTTTCCCTCACTCTCCGATGTGTACGCGATCTAAGGGAGGGTTTATGTTTGTGCTTTCCTCATACCTGCGGTTATCCACATTCCACCAACCACCCCCCATAACTGACTTACAGCAAACTCCAGTCCATGTCAGGCTCCACTGTCGCCCTGTCTACCAGTGGATTGATTTCAAGGTCCTCATCTTAAACCTATCAGTCCCTCCATGACCTAGGATCTTCATATGTTTAACCTTTTATACACGTTTCTGCTCCCCTGCCTCCCCCGCCACTGCTTGGCTAATTCAGGCTTGCTGTCCACTGACCTCTCCTTGCACCGGTTCGTGGTCGAGGTTTCAGATTCTTTCCCCCTAATCTCCGGAACTGCCTCAACCCCTCCATCTCACCCCCACCCTCCAAACCCATCTGTCTTTGAGTCCCACCTTAAAACCTACCTCTTCAAATGCCCACCTCACCCTCCGTCCTCCTACCAGCTTCCCCGCTGCTCAGCAAGTCATTTTGAATTACTCTTGAGACATTATCCTACGTGAAGACTGCTGTATTAATCCAAGTTGTTGTTGTTACGATGTTTCTTGCCTATTATTTTAGAAGAAAAAAACTTCAGGACTCAAGACGTTCCCAAGTCTGCCCTGGTTCAGGAGATTTCCAGCCGGGCAACAGGTCTGCAAACTGTTACTTGAAACGTTTTGGGAGATTTCATTGTTTTGTAAAGCTGAATAATCAAACAGATCTCACAGGTCTTGCGTGTTCCAGTCATAAAATAAACTTTTTTTTTCCCCTTTAAATTTTTAACAGCACCGAAACTTTTTATTTTAACGTTTATGTCTAGCAACTTTTCTCTTCCTTGACTGCATTGATCTTCTCAGATGTTAGCGACATTATTGAAAGAAACAAGAAACACGGTCTGTTCAGGGCTGGTTCAGTTTCGAGCTGGTAAGGTGTTCTTTTGCTGTCCCTTTATATCTCGGAAGTAATTTGATGGTTATGCATATTTATCGTACCTGCATTTGCTCTGAACGCATGGCATTTGTCGACTACTTTACTGGTGACTCTTTTTGACACTTATTTGAAGCAAAAACTGTAGTCAAAATACAAGTTGTCTCGACAGGCAGTAATGTAACCTGAAGGTAGACATTTAAAAAAAAATAAACTCTGTATTTGATTGTTGAGCCTATAACATTGAAATGTCTCGAAACACTTCACGTGGAATTGCTGTCTATTGTAGCGACGGTGTATTTGTAGGGAAATATGGCAGCCAATTTGACCAATTTAGGTAGAGGATTGTTGACCAGGAGAAACTCCCATCTCTTTGAATAATATTGTGGAATTTTTAACCTCCACCAGAACAGGTGGATGGGAGAATTGATTTAACATCTCACGTAGAGGATGATATCTCAAATAGGAGATGGCCAGAGTGTCATCTTAGATTGAGCCCAAAGCCCTAATGTGGGGCTTCAACCCTCTGACCCAGTGGTGAGATCGCTACCAATTGAGCCAGGCTGACACCTGAGATCCTAAAAAAGTAGACAAACGGAATCCTATTAATATGTTGAACATGGTAATAAAGGCTGGAACCAGGGGGCATGATGAATGGGTTGAATAAAGTACACAGGGAGCTGCTGAAAAAATTATATTGTATAAGATAGCTATTGGACAAAGGAATCGAGTGAGGGGTGTGAGAGACAAGCAGTGTAGGATTGTTTATTTCTACTTTGATCGCAGTGTTTTGTTCCCAGTCCTGCACTTTCTTATGTTCCTAAAACTAACTCTCAGCAGAGTAACTAAGATCAAGAAATGATTAAGAGTTGGCTTTTCCTTAAATTAGAGACCAAGTTTGAATGAGAGAGGTACGTTATGCACTTATTGGGGCGCAACTCACCTTATGCTTAGCAGGGACTACAATAGGGAGGGAGAGGTATTTGCAATAATATTGCATATGGGAGGGAGAGGTAAGTGAGGTCTCCTTGGAGCTGAATGGCTGCAAAGTGACATACTTAGCAACAGAATATCAGAATCAAATCAATTCTCCATCTCGGTCCAGAACTCAGAAGTCCGGTTCCTGAGACAGGTTGGGGTCCACAGTCCTCCAGGGTACAATTGACAAGAGATCAGCCAGCTCTGGCTCATCGGCAGGATGTCAAGGGGCAGATCAAGGCAGGGATTTAGTTCACTCAGCTCCTGTCCTGCAAGCCAAAGCCCTAACAGATAGTGAGGTCTTGCCTAACCAAGCAACGATGAACTTGGCATACAGTGCTTTCAAACTATACGGTTGAATGGCAACCTATGTGATTTTATCTACTTAAACTCCAGTATTACTACAACACACACCCCAGGATCCCCAAGCTCTAATAATACTCACTGGATTAGATAAGCAGGGTGTGCACTTGATGGCGTATAGATGGCATACATGGAACTCTCAGGCTGGTTTGGACACTCTTTGGACGCATATGTCAGGCACCCGATTGAAAGATGAGAGAGAGAAAATTACGAGGCCATAGCAACTGCAGTGAGTAAATGATGAAGGAAAACAATTTCAATGATTTCTAGTGGGGCTGTAGAATTTTTTGGGGGGTGGGAGGGGGAGAGGGGGAACTGAGATAAAATGTTTAATTCTCATTATGGCTGGTTGCCTGCGTTCGGTCTTGCCTTCAGTGATCAAGGCAGACAAGTTCCCTGCCCAGAATCATGCCCGACTTTCAGAGATGATCCTGCTCCAATGCCTAACCCGCAAGAGACATATTTGCTGCAGGGCGAGTTGGATCAAGACTGTGTTGGCACAGCAGAAAACCCCCTCCCTTGAGTAGGTTGACACAACAGCTTTGGATCCATCGAGTTGTGGTTTGGAGGGAAAGTGAAAGAAATCTCTGGTTTTCCAAACACTGGAGAAATTCGACATGAGGAGAGGAGGGGTGGGGGGGGGGGGGTGGAGGGAGGGGGGGTTGGAAGGCGGACACAGATCGCTTTGGGGGAAGAGTTAAATTTTAACAAAGCGTGATATACAGAAAGAGAAAGTCAAGTTGACAGTGAAACTGCAGTGCAGTTATATAAAAATAATGACCCTTGCATTTGAAATAGCACTTTATCTCGTTGTTGAGAAGTCTCAAAGCGCTTTACAGAACATAGTGTAAAGTGAAGTGACTGGTAGTTTGTGGGCGAAACGAAGCAGTCAATTGCGCACATTAATCTCTGGAGTTGTTCGCATTTTTTCTGAAAAAAAACTTCCGTAATTTTCTTTCATGAAGGCATTCACCTCCTTCCTTCCTTCTTTAGTATTCCATTAATTCCCGGAGAACGAACCCGAGCCGGGGGGACGGGGGGGATGGGGGTGGGGGGGGGGGGGGAAGGTGACTGTAGGCACGGTCGAATAGGAAGGTCTTCAGGCGCGACCTGAAGATGGGGGAGGAAGGGGCAAGATGGAGGGATAGCGGAAGAGTGCTCCAGAGTTTCGGTGCTTAGTGGCTGGAATGGAGGGCACAAGGGACATGCAGAAGGCCGGAGCCAGTCGAGGGCGGGCAGTGGGTTGTGGGTTGGGGTTGTGGGTTGGGGGGTAAGCGGGTCGGTGAGGCAGAAAGCTGCCAGGGCATGAAGCAATTTGAAAATGAGTGTGAGGATCTTGAAATCAATCCATTCGGCGAAAGGGAGCCGGCGGAGCCAGGGAACCAGCCTAGAACAGGTACGCAAATACAATTTGGACAATTCTTGAATTCAACCTGAATTTCTGCAGTTTCTTTTTAAGGCTCCAAAATGAAGGTTGGATTTTAGAATGAGGGTATCTCTAAAATGCTACGGTGAAAAGGTCTAAGTATAGATTCAAATGGAATTTCTAACTGTCCCCAGCGAAAGTGATCTGATAGCTCAGTGTGTTATGCAGTGAGTGGTTGAGCCGGACAGCTTGGAAAGAACTGTGCTATGAAACAAATGTTAATATATCTACGGAATGTATCTTATGAAATAAAATAAAATTAGCTTTGTCACTTCAAGGACTGTTGCTTAAACCAGCGACTTTGCATCAAGATGCACAAATTACTGGGAATTGCAATAAGGGATGGCGCGAGGTGGTGGGGGGGTGGGGTGGGGGGAGGGAATGATTTCCGAATGAAATGGTCTAAAAAGAAATCACTGATTATGTGCATTTGGATAAACTGGGAAAAATAAACATATAATTACTCCTGAAACATGCTGATTCGTTGCTTTTTTTTAAACAGCTTGTTCCCTGACATTGATTTTGAATGTTTCGAGGTTGTCTGAGCAGGTTAGGGTATTTAAATATTTGGCATCGGTGAGCAATGTATTTCAGCCTCACACTGAGAAAAGAAAATTGATGGAAAATGGTGCTTCCACAAGACATAATTTGTGTACTGGGTGTTAATAATCACTGGTTACTTATTACCAACCACATTCATCTGCAGTCTGTTGGCTTTCTGGGTAGAGGTACGTTCTATTGTGTCTATTTGGGGCAATCAGGTTGACTTGTGTAGCCTTGAATTTTGTTTTTAATGTCGTACCATTAATTGAATATTTCGGCAGCCCCTTTTTTCCCCCCCACCCCCAGGGGAATCGATCTTTCTATGTCTATCAAAGCAGTTTGATACCTCGCCTTGTGCGCTTCAGCACTGCACCAGAGCTGTTACCCAACAAGCCATTGGGGGAAGAGCTAAATCACACGAGGGAGTAACACCACCTGGATCAAGATTGTAGTCTTTTTTTTTCTCGGCATTTTAGAGCACGCAAATAAATTTTGGACAATTCTTGAATTCAGCCTAAATTTTGAAGCTGGTTTTCTACAGTTTCATGTTTTAAGACTCAAAAATTAAGGTTAACGTGGACATGAAAAATCCACCTCTGTCTTTCTGTGTTGGCAACAATGGGGAATAGAGAATAAGAGAGAATAATCCAAAGGAGTAAATCACACTCGGTACCGAGTTGGACTGATTTGCAAAGGGATGTAAAATGCAATATTTGAAACATGAGACCCAACAGTTTCTGCTGTCCTTAGCTGGAAATTCATCGCATCTATCACGCAGGACCCCACTCCAACCCAGTCTACTTCCAGAGCTGTGTATGGCATAACACACACTTGCTAACCAGCAGGAGATGCTATTTAACCCTCCTGTTGAGTGCATGGTGTTTTGGACCCCAGTATCCAGTGGATGAGCACGAGATGCTTAGAAGAATTCCAGGGCAACAATAATACCAAAGATTGAGCAGATCACTGCCATCAACCCCAAGGTTAGACTAAAAGTACCAAATTGCTGACCAGTGCTACCTTGATATGTTGTGAGGTGGGAAACGTTATGTGCTCGGTTCGATGAGACACTTTTCTCCTGATTAAAATTTAGCGCAAAAGTTAAGCGAATTTACAATTACTCACCGCTGCACTTCAGCGAGTCTCCTGCCCAGTTGTTGCTGTGAAAGGGAGGCCTAGACATAGTGGAAGCGGGAACTTTTCTTTCCCGATCAACAAGAATAATATGGATTGTTTCATCTTCATAGTCAAGGTGAAGGAGGGGGCAAGGGGTTTGGTGGAGGGGGGTGGGGAGTGTTTACATCCTGTCAGTGGGTGTCAGTACGGGGTGGCAGCATTTAGGATGACATTTGGGTAAGCGGATTAATGGCTGCGATGAATTATGGCAGGTTTATTGAGAAATAATCTGCAGTTGATTATGTGGAAGTTCTGTGTCCCAGTATCTATTTTAATCGGTAGAGCCTTAAGTGATACTAGACTGACTGATACTGGACTAGACAGATCATTTCATCGGGGAGCTCTGCGGGCTGGATTGCTTTCGAAAAGGGATCTCTGGTTAAATTAATAAAGCTCCGTAAACTTATTTAAAACGCTGCAATTTCCACCGTTTAATTTTCGCTGAAGAACTGAAAGGAGTAACGTTTAAAATAAAATGAAGAGACCAGTAGGGTTTTGAATATCAAATCCTTTACATGACAGGTATAAAGCCTGCAAAGAAGATTAAAGATATTACTCTTTATCTCTGTCGAGCATTTATCTCCGAGATTACTAACTCTATTCTCTTAAAGCTATCACAGATATTAAAACCTGTTTAACTGATTAAAGCATTGTAATCAGCTATTTTTTCATGTGGGTGGACATGAAAGAATGTTTAATCATTGGTATTGGAAGTGGATCAAATTAATGCCTCTTTATGCAGTGCTGCAGGTTACCTGGGATTAGATTTGTTGCATTGTAACTGCTATTGTTCCATCTTTGGGCAGAGTTACACATCAAAAGTGACTGTCAGTAGGACCTTCGGGAACGATCCAAATGGGCCAGGAAATCAGCTTCTCATTTGGAATCAAAACTGACAAAACCTATCGAAGAAGGTTTCAGGAGGGGGAGTGAGAGATCAAGTAGTGTAGGTTTTTTTTAAATCTTCCGATCGGATGTACAGCAATACCCTTCTCTGTTCCTGTACAGGGCTTTGCTCCTATAAGGGAAGACGTAGGAAACAATTTTAATTCACGTTCTCTATTCTTTGAAGACACTGTATGTGGCTTCACAGAGACAACATGTGGCCTTAAAGCCAATTCGGAAAAATGCCGTAATTAGAAATGTACTTTGTATTTTGAAAGCAAGATTGAAGCACTGCACGGATGGCTCATTTGGCAAAGGCACTGCCTAGTGTGAAACTGGACCTTACTGAGCAGGTAGTTCCTGAGTTCAGTGACTGATCTGTGCTGAGTTATCTTAGCTCAACCATTGCAGTTGTTTGGGCAAACCTACGTTTGCCACTGGGTTAGAGAGGAAACGTTGTCTGGGGTTCCCCAATCCTCAGCATTGTCCAGTGATTCTTGTTGGAATTGTGGGGGGAGGAGAGAGGAGAAGCCAAGTCACCACATGATGTGTGAGACTTTGCTGGGAGCTGTTTAGATGCCACGTTTGCTTTCAAAACGGGATGTTTCATTTTGTAATTAATCTCATTCTGTAAATCGTTTTGGGACACTATTATGTGAAAAAGCTCCGAGAGACTACCCCGCGTGAAGGTATATAACTGCAAGTTGTTGTTTAAAGTATGCGTTTGGCTCAGTTTCTACCACACTCTGGGTCAGAAGGTTGCGAAGTGCCATAATACTTGAGTCCAAGCTGACATTCCAGTATAGTACTGTGGGGAGCAGCATATTCTCGGAAGTTTATTTCTTCAGCTGAGATATTAAACTGAGTTATGTCCGCCTGTTCAGGTGGATGCTAAAGAACCCATGATACTTTTTGACAGAAAGTTTTTTTTCCCAGCGTCCTAACCAATTATCCTTCAGAAAAATGAGTCCTTCGTTTTCATAGCTGTTTCCGGGACCTTGCTGTGCTCAAAATGGATGCTGCTTTTACCAATAAGTTCACAGTCACTACACTTGACAGCAGCTCCCTGTGAAGTGCGTTGAGAAGTTTTGATACTATAGTCGTTATGGTCAAATGACTTAGTTATTATCATAAATCGTTGTTGTGCAGAATTTGCATTTTATTGAAAGGGAGAACGTATTGTTAAACATTTGTAAAGCAAAGCAGTTTAAATGCGTGCAGCATCCAGTGGTCGCAGTTCCATTCTATCCAGATCAGAGTACTGAGCTTCAGCTTGATCACACACTTGAAGTGATAACATTCCTATAGAAATCTAGCGATACAGCTGGCATTCCCCTGGAACACATCCTGGGGCTTAGCTCTAGTCAGCACTCATCCATTTGAGTTTATTAGGAAGAAGGTCAATTACTGTACACGTACACTGTAGAAGCAGCTCTATCTCACTGCTTTGAATTGAAAGGCACATACACATACTTACAGCTATTGTTCCCATCTCTGCAAGATGTACCCCCAGTTGTATTGGAATTACAACTAAGCCCCATTCCCCCCCACCACCCCATTCAATCACCCAGAAGAGGTGAATTTGACAGATTATTGTTTTGTGGCGTTAACTGCGTGATATGAAGTCTCCTCTGCAGTTTCAGTTAATCTCCAAATACACAATCCTACTTACTCTTCCTTCCTCCCTGCATCCTTGCTGCGTTGAAATCAAATCACATTGCATCATATTCTACTTTTAACGTGTTCTTTCCCAGGATCTGAAAACTGTGGAACTCCTTACTTCTGCATGTGTCAATCTCTCTCTTTCTCTCTCCCTGATACAATCCACAGGCTTTTAAAACCCTAGGCTGATGCCTTCTTGATTTATCTTCTCTTCTCTCCTAATCTTCTCAGCATCTCAATGTTTTCTACACAATGGAGGCCTTGGCTGTAGACCTGAGCTTCTCAGAATAAATTCAGAAGGCCCTGAATACTTAGTCGGACAAAGTTTACTGTTCCACTTTAATTTAGACTTTCACTATATTAAATCAACACAACACTGGCAGGCTATTGTACCTAGAATATCAGTAGTTGTCTAGTTATTTCTTCTTTAGACTCCTGGGATCCTTTCTAAGCCACTATAAAGACTTGACTTTTCCAATACACTGATAAGTATGCAGCTTATATCAGTTCCCCGTGTTAGCTGTATCAGTGCTACCACTGGTTTCGTTCCAGTTCGCTTAAGTTTTTTTACACTTTGGCTTCCCCTATGTGGGTGAGTGCTGGAGAGTGAATTGTACAGCGGACAGTGCATTTCAGATGAATATTATTTGGTGACAGTGCAATAAATTATCAATAGATTCTTTTTTACCCAAAGATTAGACTTAAATGAAGGAGCAAAAGCCAAAAGGAGCAAATGGAAGATGGTGTGTGTTTGGTGGGGGAGGGGGTGGGCGAGAAGGGGAGACCCTACCAATAGAAATCAGTGATGGCTCAGCACCGAGAGAAAGTGAACAGGCCTGTCTGATGTGAAGCAGTATATGTTGGTCTCTCGTATAGCACTTTCAGATGGGACATTGATAACCTCTGCTTTGGGGCTATGGCATGTCACAGCAGCCCGTCGTGGTCTGTTGCTCATGTATGGCTAAGGTGGTAACCAGTTTGTCACCAGTTTGTCTTGCGCTGACAGAGGTGTGCGAGCTTGTTGATTTGGAGCAATGAAACCTGACACAAAAACAGAGAGCACTGGGAACACTCAGCAGGTCAGGCAGCATCAATGGAGAAAGGAAAGTGGGTCAATGTTTCGGGTCCATGACCCTTCGGCAGATGTAACCTGACATCCGACTGTGTTTCTCCTACCTGTTCTCTAGCGTAATGCGATGGGATAATGAGAAGGACGTGTCTCTCATGGAAGGACATTTTGATGTCGTTATCTGTGCGGATTGGTGAGTTTGTATTTTATGAACTAAAAAACACAAAAGTTTCCCACTATCATTTTGCGACAAAGTGTGTTTACCGGAGAGATCATTTCTCACACGTCGTCTCCTGTTTTTTTCAAAAAAAAGATTGCTTACCGGGGACCTAAGCCAAGTAAACAAATGAAGAGCAAAATAGCATCAGCGTGACAAATTAATATGCAGCTTCATGTGACAGCTATCAAGTAGTGGTCTATCAGAGAGTAACTTCTACCACATTATTTCCAAAGATTGATTTTAAGAGGCATGCCATTTTCTGAAATTGCCTCTTTTTCATGCTTGACGTACCAGTAAATGGACATCTTAGGCAAATTGCAAATAATTACGCCTCAGTGAGAAGCAGCCTGGAGAAAGCAAATGTATCAACATAAACAGCTCCTTCTGCAGATTAAAAAGGACTCAATTGGCCGCATATTATTTTTCTTCTCAAAAACAAATATCGGACCGTTTGGAGGGGTGGAGGGGAAGTAATTCTTGATACAAAACGGTAGCCTGAAAAAAATAATTTCCAATAACTTGGTCAGAGCCAGGTCCCCACTTGACACCATTTACTATAATGCACCATTTGCTGTATCAGCTGCTTGTGGCATTATCTTGACTTCTTTGATTGTGAATTGATTATTGCTGCTTATATTATGCCGTCTGTAATTCCACATTTTGCTTCACAAATTGTTTGTAAGGAAAATGTTTGCAGGTTTTTTTCTCCCTAAACTGATCGTTCACAATTATGTCTTTTTTTTAGCCATTAAAGGAAATGTACCACATTGTTTAATTTCACAGAGGCACCTGTTCCTCACAGTTTTTTTACTAAGAATGAAAGCGCAGGATGGCTTCTCGTATCTTGGGCTTGGGTATGAATCCAGACTATATCGGTCGTACCAACATTTACTCTGACTGTTGACTGTAAGGAACCTGGGATCAATGAGTGCAGACGGACTCAACCCAGTTTCCAATGGGCAGAGAAGTGCAACACCTAACTGAATGTAAAATGGAGTTACGTTGGTAACTAGTCTCAGAAGGGCGACAGGATGGTGTGGGAAATGTTAAATAACACACTGGGAAGGTTGGGGAATGAGCCACACTGTCAGGGAACAGCTTTACACTTTATCTTTACACTTTACACTGTGCCTCACCCAGGGGGCACTTGATGCTGTCAGTGGGCACTTCGAAACGGAAAAGTATACCTAATCCCAACGCTTATATCACTCTCCGTGATTCACCAGTTCTACAGAGGTCAACAGCTCCTCTGCAAAAATTAGCTGTAATACTGGGATAGGGTAAATTGGAGGTTCCATGATCTGCATAAAACATGGAGCTAAGCAACGCCATATGATTCCAACAGCCAATTTAGCAAATGCCTTCCTCACCTAATATTAGAATGGATACTTCAGGTTTCATTGCAAGAATGAAGTTAAAGCTGGAAGGATTAGATCAGATTAAGAATCAAAGGCATGCAGGCAGGAGAATTGGCGCACTGGAGTAGGAGGTCTGAAGTCTTCTCTGAGGCTTAGGCACAGCTCCCATATGGACTTTTCTACAGATTAAATAGGTGAAGTGAGGTCCGGCTGAGAGATTTACAGTTAAATTTGTCCCTCGCCATAAGCGCAGAAAGAACTCGGCCCTGGCATGCCGTGTATTCCTTTATGTTTTCATTGTGTCATCCTGTTTGTACCTAGAGGATAACAGAGTAAGCAGGCACAAATTGCTTTCAGCATGAAGAAAAATATATTATCCCGGGGCAATTCGGGAAACCTGGACAGGCAGATGAATAAAGACTCTGAACAAAAAATTAACACAGTAGTCATTCATTTAATTAAGCGCAGATTCACATGTTGATCAACAGATTGCAATCGATTACGTTAATGTATACCTTAAAAATGTCTCTAACCCTCCTTTATAATCAAAACAAAATACTGTAGCTTTGTACTTGTAAATTGCAGAGTAATGCTTTGTGGCTTGAACAGCTTTTTTTTTATCTCTTCTCAATGTCTCAATGTCAGCTTGTTTCTGGACCAGTACAGAGCCAGCCTCGTTGATGCAATAAAGAGATTACTAAAACCCAATGTAAGTGTGTTTCAATTTTCTCCTGAACGTGGGCTTCAGAATAATTAGTCCCCTGCACAGTGACTGAGAATGGAATGGAATGGCAGGATTAATGTCATGTAATACTTTAATACTTATTATGTCCAACTTCAATTGAGTCGTCTTATCTCTCTGATTCTTCCTTAATCATAAACTAGAAAACTTCTTATGTTCATCCTACTGATAAGGTGCACAGTGTGAAGCTAAAGAAATGAAATTGCTCCAAAGATGAACGAGATTATATATTTTTTAATCAAAGTCCACCTCAAGTTATCATAAGCTATTACACATTTATTTTTCTACGTTTGAACATGGGACTTGAAATAAGGTGCTGTCAAGTTCACTGCTGTTAGTTTGCAATGTCCCTTTTCTTTTCAGGTCTCCTCAATAATTCAAGCGACATTTGTTAATAAAAGTTGAAGCAAACTGTTATTAGATCTCCCAGAAAGGGGTTCCCCCATTTTACTGCCTTTGTCAGCCTTCTTTGCATTTTGATAAGTGTTTTTTGAATGGAGGGACGTTTGAAATGAATTCCAACAAATCTCGGGAAAGCCAATCATTTTGGGACAAGCATTGAAATATAACTGAAACGTAGGAGTGAAAGTTAAGTCGGAAGATGTGATGATTATCACGAGTGCTAATTGTCACCCTGTTGACAAACGGAGCCTTATAATTCCCAGCCACTCCATCACACTGGTGGGACGCAAAGCTGACCCATGGCAGCCATCGGACATGCCTTTCAGACATTTTTGAGTCCTCTATTACAGGATTCCAGCTTCGTTCTGGTTTTTGTTTGTTAAATCAAGATGCTCACAACTGAGTGGAACCCAATGTCACTTCCGGGCTCAACCGTTGTGCAAGAGTTGCGGAGGGGAACGCACCCACAGCCAGAACTGTCCTCGGCGACCAGTTAGTAACTATCGCATGATACGTCACCACTTTTAATGCTTAAAAAGTTTATTTTCAATTAAAATTTGCATTCAGTTTGGGTCAGTGTGGGAAGTGGGGGTGGGGGGAGGGGGAGTGGGGAGAAGGAAGGAAGGAAAACACGATTGATAGACACCCATTGAAATTCTGTTTTGTCCGTAGAGTGTGCGTTCAGCTACAGGACATGGTGCTGCGGTTGGCCTCACTGAAGGCTCTAAGATACAAGTGCTCTGGGACTCTACTCCGCGTGAAGGGCGCTGTGTAAAATGCAAGTTGTTGTAGGTTTGGCGTGCACTAAATCTTCACAATCCCCTTTTTTTTTACAGGGGAAAGTGCTTGTCTTTGCCCCTCAGAGAGGCAACACTCTGAACCAGTTCTGCAGCCTCGCTGAAAAAGCCAGTTTACAACCCCACAGGCTTGTGAATTATGACGACCATGTTTGGAACATCCACCTTAAGGTCAGTGCTTTTCCGGTGTTGGGGGAAACCTCACAATCCATTTTACACTAAAAGGGGGAACACAGATGTTTTGGCAGTTACCTGAAATACCATTGACTGGGATATTCCCTCCTTTATTATACCAAGGACGACCAAGCCCAAAGCTGCTCAATATGGCAAGTATTTATTAACTTCTTGGCTGTTTGTGGGACATTTCTGTGCGCAAATTGGTTGTTTGCATTTGCCCACAAACAGATGGAAAGTCGCTACGCTTTACAGTAAAATTCTGTGAAGCGCTTTGAGATGTCTCAATGACGTGAAAGATGCCAGGATGATTATTAATATTGCAGTAAAACTCACATAAGTTGTATCAGTCGGGACTGTAACATTTAATACGACTTACGCAAAGTCCGAGTCACAGGCAAACTTGTATAAATCGTATAATCCGATTTCATCAATAAACTACACAGCGTCACAACTTATGTGAGTTCTACTGCAAATGATAATTTCCCTGGCATCTTTCATGTCATGAGACATCTGAAAGTTTCTTGGGACATTATTTTCCCGCGATTCATCTCAACCGATAAGTGCAAGAGTAATGGAAGATAGAAGAGCAGGGTTAGGAGATGATTTTTTTAAATAAAATACGACTAGTGCAAAGAAATCTAAGTGGTTTTGATAGGAAACTGAATGGGACTCGAGTGCATGTATGACTTAAGCGATTATACTGTTTATAAAGATGAGACTTATGCAAGTTTTACTGTAGTCGCTCTCGGGTATTCCTTATTCTGCACGTGGCATCTTTAGTTTGATGAGAAGAATGTGAAGTTGATTATCCGGAATACAATGCCTGGTAGATAATAGGATCTAACATGTAATGATCATAAGCTGGAGTTGTTACTGTGGATCGTAAAATACAACACAATACAAATTTATATTTATCCAGCACCTTTCACGTCAGGAGGCTATCCAAAGGCGCTTAACATTCCTTGGCACCCGAGCTGGGCTGGGAGCTGGGGGGGATGGGATGGGGAAAGATGACCAAAAGCGCAGTCAAGTATTGTGATTGACACAATAAATCCAGTTTATGACTATGATATTTTAGGGCCATTGCCGTCCAAAATGTTTTTTTTTAAAAAGCTTCTGACCGTTGATTACAGTTTTGGGCAGTTTTGTCCATCTCCAAATCCGAATCATTAAAGCTCTAACAATAGTTCACAGCTGTTGTGGTAAATGATGGTGTCAGGCACTAGAAGATTTAGGTCAAGAGTGCTTAAAGAGGAATGATATTTCCTAGTGTACAATGCTGCCTGTAGAGTAACGTATTTGTCCGCAAAGACTCTCCCGACACCTATTGTCATCGACGAGTAATTGTCAATAGATTTAATTCCAGACTTTTTGGATTAAACGCGATGTGAAGAGTTCCCTTTGACCCGTGTCTAAGCATCCAATCTGTTTTAGTGTTCCTACATGCTCTTGTCTTCTGTGACAGAGAGCTGCGTGTTTAACACTCTAACACAGAAGGACATCATTTTTGCTATTTAGGAATTACTGTCACGTTTAGTTGAAGTTGTGTGAGTAGCCTAATGGATGAATTCATGAAACTGACAACAGAATAGGAGCAGGGCTATCAAATTTACTTTAAACCATTTTTTCTGTGCTTGAAATGTATTCATATGTTTAATGATATATCACCTTTTTAGTGGCGTTATACCATGAGAGACTACCTACCCTACCATCACAACATTTCTGTCTCAGCTCTGATGCATGAAGGTTATTATTTGTGTGAACGTCATTCCTTCCTTTTTGTTTGTACTTTTCGTTGAGGAGAGATTCCATCTGGGTCCACATTTCCTGTGTTTACGCAGCATTTCAGAGCCTTCAGAGTTTGGCAAATTGTTGATTTCAGTCTTAATTTTGAAATTCCATTTTCTTTTGTTTTTCTGCCACAACTATTCACCTCCCACCAAGTACCCTCCCCCCTTCCCTGTTCGTCATCGGGTATCTATATAAAAATGCAAGTTGTTTTTTTCTGATCAACCAAGTGTCTGACACATGCGGAAACCCAATACTATTGTTAAGTTTATCCAGACCAGACTGATAGTTCCACATATGTGTGTACCCACTTACACATGGAAATTTCCCCGTGTCTCAAATGGATTGCGCACTCCCTGCACCAGGAAAGCATTAGTTGCAGAGTATGTGTTGAGCTCCTGAACAGACAGTTCGTACTTCGTCATTTTACAGAGTATTCAGAGTATGTTGAAATAGATCACAAAACATTTTATAGTAATTACTGTCAAGTGTAGTGACTGTTTTTCAAGCGCTCTCGGACCCTGACCTGCGTTAGGGCCGCTGCATGACTGCAAGTTGTTCTTTTTGGCAAATGCGGTAACCATTTTGTGCACAACACAGCCCCTCAAGCAACAGTTAGGTGGATGATCACTTCATTTGGAGGCTATTTCGCCAGGACACCGGGAGAAACTTCCTTCTTATCGCGATTAATGTCGTGTAATTAAATCAAGTCCACCTGAAAAGGCAGAAGCAATTTCTGTATAACATTTCATCTGCTGAATGTCACCTCCGACACCGTAACCCTGCCCCGATGTTGCTTGCACTGGATTGTTAGCCTGGGCTGTGAGCTCAAAGGTCCTGAAATAGGAACTGAGCCCACAACTGAAAATGGTGCACGGCATCCAAACTTACAGCGTCCTGTGGGTGGTCTCACATATCTATCTATGACGCTAACAGTCTTTGTTTGTGTGTTTGCAATTCAAAATACCATTATAAAAATCACTGCTACTAGTGAGACTCTTGCCATTCGCTGCTACAGATGGGACACAATATATTTTAATAATAATAATAATAATAATAATCCTTGCATTTGGTATAGCGCCTCATCACGTTTTCGAGACGTCTCAAAGCACTTCACAGAATATGCTGTAAAGCGAATTCGACTGTATATTTTACTCTCTAAAGCACAGATATTCCTCGGCTGCTACCATAGGACCTGTGCTGTATTAGTTTACCTTGTGTGATCGGAGGATATGTCTCACCCATTGGGTCACATACTCTGTGTTCACTGTGATTTGCTGCCCGCCTCAATTCTCTTCCCTCGCCAGTCATTTCCCTATTCACTGCCGCCTCGATGTCCATCCCGAAAGCGGGTGGAGAAAAGCATTCTTCCTCGAGGCTGCATGTTATCCTCTTATCCCCACTGTTTTGGAATAGAGCGTAACCAGCTGGAGAACTGTAACGAAACTGATAATGCAGCTATTTTCTGCTGTCTCATCTTAATCTTGTTACACAAATGATTGTGAAGAGATTCATGAATTTTAATTTTGCCCTTTGCATTAGCCTCTTGTGTCACATATCCACAGCTGCCTTCCTCGGGCGGGAGCTGGCCATCTGACCCACCCCTCCCCTCCTTACAGTTTTGTGTGGGGAGATGCAGGAGAAATTGCTGATAATCTTCGACTTACCCAGCCACCCATGAAGCTGATTAACAGTGATCAGGAGGAACAGCTTTGCCTCTTAAACTTTTCACCCCTACCTGATTTCTCTTCTTAAACCGAGGAGTTTAAAGCACCAATTTGCAATATTCAGGCAATTATTATGACACCCGACAATCCCGGCGGAGTTTATTGCCCTGTCGTTTGGGCTCCCGTACTGCGAAACACCTGCACGCGCCCAATGGAATCTAATCCCCTTCAGTAGGGTTTTCCTCTCTTAATGGCAACACCTCGGTGCTTTGCAGGTCACCGGTGACTTTGTGCTTCGCGTTCGCTGCAGACTCAGGGGGTTTGCGAAGTAAAGAACAACGTCGCAGTTTGAGTGGCGAGCCGGCTGCTCGTAACAGTGGAGGGGATGGAGAGCAACACCTCACGGGCTCTGGGTGTGCATTCCCTTTGTTGGGCAGTAGGCGGTGCTGAGGTTCATACTCAACTTCCCCTTAAGAGAATAGCCTTTTGCACCTCCATCCCTCGGGTCATCCACCTTTGTCGTCGAGTGGATGCGTGTTTCTGTCCAGTGTCGGGCATAATGATTCACTCGGGATCTTGGAACCGGGGTGAGGGGGGGTGGGGGGGGGGAACGCCTGGGTTTTTTCCCGGAAAGCAAACGCCCCGGGCCACTACCCCGTGTGAAGGGGCGCTGTATAAATGCGAGTTGTTGTTGTGTCAGTCGTTGGCTTGGGTCTGAGTGTGAAATTTCCTCCGCTGTGACCCGACGTGCAGAATGCTCCCAGGCTGCAATGCCGTATCGGATACACAGTTTGCGTTCCTGTTAGCAGTGGTTAAACGCTAGAGCATTGGTGCTGCAATCTACCACGTGTCAGTCTCTAAAAATAGCAATCTTTTGCATTGCGTCTTTTAATATAATGAGATTTCTGGCTACTTTTAGCAAACGTGAGTGAAAGGCCCCCTACCACCACCCGCCGGACGGAGTTCACCTTTTAACAATGGCTTAGGGGAGAATGCAAAATAATAGGAGGAGAGGGTAAAGAATAGAGGAGATGTGTGAAGGGGGCTGGGGGAGGGGAAGGAAAGTCATCCATTTGAAGTTTGATAGCTGATTGGTAAATGGGTCGAGCAGTGTTAATTCCACTTTGCAGCTGCTGAGGTAGCCAACAGCTCTGGCCTCAGTTACATCTCATTAGAGTATAAAGTACAAATCTGGTGACAGTAACTGCAGTGTTTATGCCCTATCCGTAAAACCTTTGTGTGAATCAGGAGGTGGGTTTCACGAAACAGAGCATTAAGCACCAATTATCCCGAGTAATTAAATGATCCAAAATGATTCCAGCCCCGCACACTGAAAACTTTTGCACAGATAAGATTCGGAGGATACCCTGGGATTCGATACACCCTCACAGATTCAGTGTTCAGTACATTCGTTGGTTTTCTTTGCATATGTCTTCTCTCTCTCTCTCTCTTTCTCTCTCTCTCTCGTGTTACTCGTCCTTTGAGATTATATTCATTCCGGGATGCTACCCCGCGTGAAGGGCACTATATAAACGCAAGTTGTTGTTGTTCCGCATACCACTGCTCTCATTAAAAAGCCTACCGCTCCCTCATTCCATACCCTACTGCTCCCCTCATTGCACACAGCACTGTTCCCCTTATTCCCAGAGCCTTGGGACGTTCTCCCGACGTGAAAGGCGCTTTACAAATGTAATCGCTGACTGTCGCTGCTGAATCAACCCTCTTTAAGTCACTTTAACCTCCCATTGCTACCCCTCCCACTCTCCCCCTCCCTCAACTGGGGAGGTGTGTAACGGCTTGGCTTTTGCCCTTAATACCACGTGAGGGCAAAAACAGATCTGCTGCTGAAACGCAAGCTCGACAATCCCCCCTCCTCGCCAGGTTCCACTGGCTCCCATCGTCTTAATAAAGAGCCTGAAGATATTCGCCGTATGAGAAAAGTGCTATATAAATGCAAGGCTTGTTGTTGAACGCTGTGCGCAATTGGCTGCGTGTTTCGCCCGCAAAATATACAGTCAATTCACTTCATAGCATAACCTGTGAAGCGCTTTGGAGACGTCTCGAAGACTTGATAAGGCGCTATATCAAATTCAGAGCTTATTAATTATTATTATTATTGACTAATTTTCCCCCCTTCTCCTTACCCGCAGATGAAAACCGAGAAAACTGAGCGATACGATGAAAACCTCCATTACCCGATCCTCCTGACTCTCACGAGGCAACATGGGATCGCTGGCCCTTAACCGAGCTGAACACTGTGAACGTACCCTCGCCTTTAGGATGCTCGCCAGTACAAAAGCACAGTTCCCACCACTTTCTGCTGTTGGGGTGGGTGTCGGTCGGAAGAAATAGCTCTGTAGTCAAGAAGCGGGAGAATATCATGAGAGTAAAGACACTGTCACCCATCTCCCCGCTCACTTGTCACCTCACCATTGCCTTGTCCCTCGCCATCACTCTCACTCACCATCTCCAACCTGCCCTCACTCTCAGCATCAATCACCTCCTCACTAATCATCACCCCCCCCCCACCACTGACTACCTCCTCCCTGAATTATCATCCGACTTCCTCCCTGTCCCAAGATACCATCACCTCACTCACGGCCCACTACGCTGTACACTCTCCATCACACACACACACACATATATACACCTCTACTTACTGCCTCCATCCCAGCTTCAGGGAGCTTGCCTAGAATAATTAACCTCACCCCGAGATGAAGTGGTCTGGCTGCTGAGCATGGTTGTGTGCACTTAACTGTATTTCTTTTCCGATTGCTGTGCTGTTTTTAAAAGAAATACGTGGTAATTTTTTCCTCTGATATCAAGTCCTTCATTTTGTAACGTTTCTGTTTTCCTAAAGCTCTCTTTCCTACCTTAGAGAACGTTGCTCACGTGGTTTATTTTTCAATAAAGTTTGTAGGAGAACAACACCCAGGCGATTTGCAAACGTGTATTCTTTTATTTAAGAGTCTCGGCACAGTCCAGTATTTGCGAAAACCGGTATTGACGCTCGAGTGGTTTTTTTTTAATTCCAGTTTGGTTTGCTTTCTATATCTTTGCAAGAACCTTGTAAGCTTGACCACTTACCCTCAGCTAGACAAAGCTTGGCCTCCGAATGCCCCTCCCGTCCAATTATGTGTGATTAGGCTCAGTGTGTTATGTCAAGATGAAGGAGGGTGCTGAGTGCTCATTATCCGTTTAGATGCGAGAAGCCTGTGAATTTTCTTACTTTTGGAAGAAAATGAACCCTCAGTAATACTTCCTCCCAGCAGATAAGCGTTCTTTTATTTCTTTTAGTAATACTTAGCTGCATTTTATTACAGTACTACAGCACTCTCGAGTGTTGCGTCGTTTTAGCAAGTTGAAATGCCTCAAAGTGCTTCCTTCGCTCAGTGAGTTGCTTCAGAGTATGGTAACTGTTGCTATGTAGACCTAATCAGTGGCAGGTCATCTAAACCGGCTCCGTCCAGATACAGCGCTACAAGCAGACGTTGTTGGTGTATTTGGATGAGGGAAGAATATTGGTCAATATCGCTGGGAACTCAGTGTTCTTCCAGATAGCGTCACGGGAATCTTTAACAGTACACTTGAACTGCTAGAAGGTCCCTCAGTTTAATGCTTCAGCCAACAGCGTAGCATCTCCCTCAGTGCTGCAATGAATTGCCATCCAATATATGAGCTCAAGTCCTGGTGTACCCAGAGTACCCAGAAGTGAAAATCCCCCCCCCCCCCCAAGTTGAGTCAAACTTCCAGAATTATCCCCGCCGTAAACACATGCATATTACACCAATCGCTGGACAAGGATTGTTATTTAAAAGCAACGCCTAATACGTTCCCCTCACTCCTGGATATCATAGCGCACGATTAGATTAAGAAACACTTCAGAAATAACCGTCTCTAAAGTACCCTCTGGTGACTGGGGCTACGATTCTGTGCCATTTACTCAGGGGAAGGAATTGAAGTTACAAACAGCAGAGTGACAACTGCGAGTTCCCCAAACTTTGATCTGAAGCAAGATTTCATTTCGTGGCGGCAGATGGAGAAGCGGTGGAGAAGTGTGCGGGCAAACAACAACAACAACAACGTGCATTTACACAGCGCCCCTCACACAAAGGTAGCGTCCCAGAGCGCTTGACAGTGACAGAGCACGACGCTGAGCCGGGGGGAGGGTGGGGAGGTGACCCTAGTCGCGGTCAAAGAGCAAGGTTCTTCAGGCGCGACTTGAAGATGGGGGAAGGAAGAGGCAACACGGAGGGGATAGAGGAAGAGTGTTCCAGAGTTTCGGGGGGTTTAGTGGCTGAAAGTGCGGCCACTGATAGTGGAACGATGGTGCATCGCCTGCCCCTTACCACAAGCCCATAATGGGAAGCCTGGTTCATCAAACCATCCATAGCAGGTGGCAAGATGGCAAGACGTGACAACCCGGGAGTGCAGGATGTGTGTGCTTCAACCTATTCTTTTCCCCCAGTTGCCATTGCTTCTCGAGTTGGGGTGGATCCTGGCTGGGGGATGGAGCAACCCCAGCTTTCCGAAAGCAAAGGTGCCATCGTATTTTTATGCTCCAACCACCAACTCAGGAAGCAGGGCTGCTAATTGCTATTTGTCAGCAAAGTAGTTTGACCTTAGCCCCGAGTGAAGTAGTAGCTCTAACTCTGCTGTATTATGCATTGGGCTTTATTAGATTTTTGACCTCTGCATTCCTACTTTTCAGTACATTTTGTTCTTCCTTTATTTTGTGCATTTAAGCAGGACCTGAATGAAGGGCTTAGTAGCTAATGCAGGGATCTGGCATAAGAGTGTATACAGTAGCAGAATGCAGGAAGCTGAGCAAATGATGGAGGCTTTAGTGTTGCAAACTGAGAAGGAAAATTGTTTTTAATTAGCACCTTGGTAAGAACTGCTGATTAATACCGTTTGGTTTTTGTGAAAGGCTTTCAGCTGAGTAATTTGTGCAGCCATTACAAGAGTTTTGTCAGAGCTGTGCTCCTGTTGTTAAACACAAACAGCAGATGATAACGGCCCAAGAGGAGTTTGTCAAGTAACAATTTACATTTCTGAAGGAGCATTCGTCCGTGGTGCTGTGCAGCAGCTCGTAATAAAGCCTTGGGGGACTTTTGCAGATGTATATGTATGGAAGTATATATATATACATATATATATTATACATTGATGTATATTCCATTGAAAGCAACGGAAAGAGCTACATTGTGTCTTCAGTTTTGCTGTCTGATCAGCGATATTTGTGAAATTCCTAATTGTGATTTCTGAAACCAGCCACAGGTCAGAAATAAACAAAATAGGGCAATCAATTAATAATCAATCAATCAATCAATCAATCAACCACGTGCTTTTTTTTCATACCTTGCCCCGTTTCATAAAACACAATTCTCAATATTGTAAATAATACGGATTAAACCCTCATCCTTCCCCCTTAATAATGATAATCCTTGCATTTGATACAGCGCCTTATCACATCTTCGAGACGTCTCAAAGCGCTTCACAGGATATAATGTTAAGTGAATTGACTGTATATTTTGCAGGCAAAATGCGGCAGCCAATTGCGCACAGCAGTGTCCCACACACAGTCCTGGATTGAGTAACCAATTTTGTTTTAAGGAATTATTATTCCCGGAAAAGTGATCCGCCAATTGACTAACAACCGGATTCCTGCTTACTGCTGGGCAAACAGAGGCGTGTGGAGTAATGAAACTTGCCCAACGTTTTGCCCTGCCAGGTCTCTCGCTTGCGAGGCGAGTGCTCTAACCACTGAGCTACAGGACTCCCTCGCTAAGAATATAGAAACTACGGGCAATTCCTTGCATCCTTGTCATCTAGACTGTGGGAAATGTTATTTGGGGCTCCCATGAAAAGGGGTGATAGGCACGATAGGAAAGGATAGACAATCCTGTCAATAGAAATGCTAAAAGTTTGGGTCTGACGCTGATGCAAAATAAGATTTAGAGAGTGGTTAACCCTATAATGAATGGCCTATTCGGTCCTGATGTGAACAAAGTGCCACAAACCCCATGAAGCATAAGCTCAAAAGGTCAACGGTGTGGCTTGTGTCTCCGTCTGGTCATGGAAAAAGTCTGAAATTCAGTGCAGTTCGAGAAATAGAGAGCCTCCGGCATTGGGTTTCATTAAGTGCTTTCATCATAATAAACTTTAAACTGTTGGCTTTATGAATTGCTAGGCAGTTTCACTGTTGCTTGGAAGGAGCTTGCGGTTTCTTAAGTGTGACAGGGCCTATTAGGAATCGGGACTGCATTTCAAGGACACTTGGCTTTTTCACTCCTGGGGTGATTGCGGCCCATTAGTAGACATCTGGGAGGATTTTCCTCCGGCAATCTCAGTTCAAGAGCTTTCTGGGCTTTGACCTTCGTTTTTCAAGGCATTCTCTGAGGAGTATTTTTTTGGAAGGACTGAACTCCAGAGGATTTGTGGCCACTTCTGATTAATTCCATTTCAATTCTGCTAACAACTGGACCCACTGTTATATAGATAAAAGAAAGGCTTTCATTGTTTCGAAGGTGCTGGTTTACCTCCCAAGGTCTTTCTTCACGTTGTAAAAAGGATTGAACGTGAGCATAATTGTGTAGCAATCATGGCTGTGTATTTTCAGTGACATTAAGATCAATTTTTTATGGATCTTATGTAAAAGGTGATTTATTGCCCTACTTATTTGAAAGAAAGAACTTGCATTTTTTGTAGCAACAACAGCAAATTACAGTGCTTCACAATTATTATTGTTACATGCAGATTTGTAGATAAGTGTGGGAACCCTTTAATGCACAACAACATGCCACTAACAGCCATGGGGTGATTGACCAATTTACCTGGAGGTTTGTTGGCCAATATACTGGGAGAAAACTCCCTTCTCTTTGAAGAATGTCACAGAATCCTTAATGTGCATCTGAAGCAGTAGTCGGGAACCTTGGTTTAACGTCTCACCTGAAAGACAGCACTTGCGCAATGCAGCATTCCCACAGTCCTGTACAAGAGTGCCGGAATAGACCGCAAGCTCAAATCCTCACACGATGCTTGAACGAGCAGACCTCTGATCCAGAAGCAAGAGTGTTACCAAAGCAGTCAGGCTGATAACATGATCAGATAACAGGCCAGAATCCAGCCCAGGCCCAGGATATTCCTGGCCTATAGAGTTCGCTTTGACTTTATCAAGAGTCACTGGGGAAGGAAGGTACATGTTTATACTGAGTTGGTTTATCTCAGACAGGTGGCAATAATATTGATTTCGCTTCACGATTGTTAGTGGGGCAATCCTGCGTACAAATTGCCTTTCGTGTCATCTACAAATACACATTCTATACTCTACAGAAAACTCTGTGAAGCACGAGGAAATGTTTTAATGTTAGCAGTGCTATATCAGAAACAAGGATTATTTAATAAGAAAGCTATAACTGGCATCAGTTTTTCCTTGGCTCGGGATGGGAAAACAAATCAGCTCAGGTTTCCACTACTGATTTCTGTCTAGTGACCTTTGCTGTGAAGTGGGAATGTATGGAAGTCAAATAATGACAGAATTGGGCTCAACTGTGAAGGCGCCTTGTCTGGTTGAAATAGACTGGAAAGATTCAAATAGCATCATGATGATCATGGGAGTCATAGAGTTTTTGATAAAGAATATAAGAAAATTAGGAACAAAAGACCATTTGGTTATCGTGTCTGCTTTGCTGCAAATAGTTCTATGACCCTCTTCCCTAATTCCACTTCACCACTGTTCTATCATATCCCTCAATATTTTTGCTCTCCAAGTATCTGTCTCTCTTAATAATAATAATAATAATCCTTGCATTTGATATAGCACTTTTCACGTCAGGAGGATGTCCCAAAGCGCTTCACAGAACACACTATAAAGTGAATTGACTGTATATTTGTGGGCGAACGCGGCAGCCAATTGCGCACAGCAATGTC